GTCTATTTTATATACATTAACACAGGCTCTTATATCCAGGTTTGGTCTATTTTATATACATTAACACAGGCTCTTATATCCAGGTTTGGTCTATTTTATATACATTAACACAGGCTCTTATATCCAGGTTTGGTCTATTTTATATACATTAACACAGGCTCTTATATCCAGGTTTGGTCTATTTTATATACATTAACACAGGCTCTTATATCCAGGTTTGGTCTATTTTATATACATTAACACAGGCTCTTATATCCAGGTTTGGTCTATTTTATATATACATTAACACAGGCTTTATATCCAGGTTTGGTCTATTTTATATACATTAACACAGGCTCTTATATCCAGGTTTGGTCTATTTTATATACATTAACACAGGCTCTTATATCCAGGTTTGGTCTATTTTATATACATTAACACAGGCTCTTATATCCAGGTTTGGTCTATTTTATATACATTAACACAGGCTCTTATATCCAGGTTTGGTCTATTTTATATACATTAACACAGGCTCTTATATCCAGGTTTGGTCTATTTTATATACATTAACACAGGCTCTTATATCCAGGTTTGGTCTATTTTATATACATTAACACAGGCTCTTATATCCAGGTTTGGTCTATTTTATATACATTAACACAGGCTCTTATATCCAGGTTTGGTCTATTTTATATACATTAACACAGGCTCTTATATCCAGGTTTGGTCTATTTTATATACATTAACACAGGCTCTAATTTGGGACCAGAGAAAATCTCTCTTATATCTGGGTGACACTGTAGCAAACAAATCATTTCAATAGACTCTGTTGAAGATTCACCAAACTTTAGAAAATTTAATACAGTCACTATGTTCATATTTGTCAACAATTATATAGATCAGAGCAAAAACCTTACATAATAATTGTGTATAGCACAAAACCTTTTGGTAGACTGACTCAGTAGGCAGGATGTTAGCAGCATTTGCATTTCAGTGGAACAGTACAGACACAATGTACAGCCCAAGAAATTTCCAATACAATATATTAAGGGATGGTGGGAGATAACTATATACTTATGCCTTTATGTTAAATTAAAACTTGGAAAGTTTATTCCAAATTAGTATCTAGTATAGTACATACTAGTATCCTCATTTTTGTTTCAATCAACAAGTTTTGGTTTGTGAGTTCTTCCCCTTTCAGTCACATGTATTTTGTTGCTGATAATCTTCATTTCCTTTTTTTCTAATATCCCTCCCCAGTCAAGCAGCAAAAATGTGACTGACACTGTCCCATGTAGTGATGGTTGTAACAACAATAGTAAAGATATCTGTCGATATTTCTGAGATGAGGTATTATGTACACTATTTACATTATTCGGACTATTGTCATCTTTGTTGCCATATTTATTACAACATTTAGGCCCTTCAGTATCTGTCTATATTTCTGAGATGAGGTATTATGTACACTATTTACATTATTCAGACTATTGTCCTCATCTCTGTCGCCATAAATAGGAGTTGACATGCCGTTAAATCCAACATCCATCCATCTGTCGCCATATTTATTACATTTCGGCCGTTGTACACTCCGCCTTCTTCAGGTAGTTGGAATGTCGAACTGAACTCTTTATTTCGCTCACTGGGGTAGAATGTTCTAGTTCCATGTTTAATGGATGTCAGTTATCGGTTATCTCCTGTTAATTCCCCTCTGCAAGTTCTCCACTGCCTTAACCGGGTATTGAACTCACACTCTTTGGGTCCTGTCACTGGATCTAACCAATGCCTTTATCCACTGTGCCATGTGTCCTTGAGTGAAATAAAGGGTTCAGTTCGACATTCCAACTACCTGAAGAAGGCTGGAGCAAACAATGGTTGAAACGTTGTAATAAATATGGCAACAAAGATGAGGATAATAGTCCAAATAATGTAAATAGTGAACAATAGTAAAGGTACTAGTTTGAATAACTCTTCAGATAATGGCAATATTTCACCTCCAAAGCAAAATCAATTGTGTTCTGTATCTTGGACATAAAAACAGAATTTATGCCAAATTTGTATCTGGGAACAAGAGAATAATGTTTGAAGAATATTGTTATTTCCAGTATAATTGAAGCTTAACTGTAATCTATCTCTATAATGAGAAGTGATTTTTTTTTTTTTTTCCGATCTTTCCATAACAATAGATTTGTCAATCAAGTAATAAGAAAATTAGTTGTGGTACCATGAAGCATGTTCCATCAACAATAATCATGACATTTAATTTTTAAAATTTTTAAAATGCTTTAAATTATAAAAATATTATAAGAAAAGGCATGTTTGGTGCTATTCAAAGTAAACTAGTGTTTTGTTCATCTACAACAGTGATGAGACAGCACATAATCATAAAGATTAAAAGCTCTCGGTGACATTTCAACTCTCATCTGATTAAGCTAAATATTTTTTTGATTTTTTTCTTTAAAACGGAAAAAAAAATTATTCAAATACATAAATTAATTTTTTCGAGTGATATAACCAGCAAGACATAATCGACTATGAGGTATATAATATTAGGAGGTCATCTGTACTGCAATATAATATTAGGAGGTAGATGACCTCCTAATATTATATTTTCTCTGGTCCCAAATTAGATATTTTAAAATAGACCAAACCTGGATATAAAGGTCCCCCAAATTAGAGCCTGTGTTAATGTATATAAAATAGAAAACCTAGACCAAACCTGGATAAACCTAAGAGCCTGTGTTAATGTATATAAAATAGACCAAACCTGGATATAAGAGACTTTTTCTCCGGTCCCGACAACTCTCTTATATCCGGGTTATACTGTATTTGGCAAACATTCTTTTGGTCAAACACATATTTGAGTAGAAAACTTGCTTCAAGTATTTGTTCAAAAAGATTAGCTAATCATCAACAAAAATACCAGAAGTCGGGGTTAAAAAAAAAAAAATAGAACTCATCTATGAGGACTATTGTTGAACAATCCATCAGCTCTATCTCACATAATACAAATTGGTTAGAAATCAGTCAGGAGATTCTTGATTGGAAACTTTCCAATAGGATCTTGCAAACTTGTTGATTGCAGACTAAGATATATTACTTTATACATTATTATTATAATGGACATTTTCTATTTGAAATAGATGCCTCATTCTCATTTATTAAACGGTGTGTATTACCCCTATTGGCTTGCATATTCAAAAAATCCTAGTAAAGAAAATGTGTTCCCAGACAGGGATTGAATCTGCAATATAATATTAGGAGGTCATCTGTACTGCAATTTTCCAGACTTTTGATTAACTGCACGTGAAAGGAAGAGAAAAACTGAAATCATGCAAACAGTTTTCAATTATCTGAAACTAAACCCTTCCTAATACTTCATCTCGGTCATGAATTTGAGAAATTAGAAAACCATACTCAAAGTTTGATAAAAATGCTGATAAAATCAGTTCAATTAATAATGCTATAGTTCCAATTGTTGGGACAATGGAAGATTGAGCAATTTGTAGCATTAAACATTGATGTAAATGTAGCAGAAATGAATGACTGTTTCAATGCAAATGGCACCTAAGTGACCAGGCATTGTTAAACCTATAACCGTGCCAGAAAATATTGAAGAGTTCAATGATAACGATATTGCTCGTGTTCAACAGCCCCAAATTCCAATTTTAAACACCAAAGTAATGATTATGTTTGACAACTGTTTAAGTTGGTTGTATTTTCAACCAGAAGCTACTTGTACAAATACGTCTACTTTAATCTGGCTTTGTGAATTAGCAACAGAAAAATGTGAGACCAGTTGGAACCATCAAAGGTTGGCATTTTTTTCTTTTTTTTTTTTCTTTTTTTTTTCTTTTCATTAAAAATAAACAAAACAAAGCACTTGAAAATGTTATCTGATAATATAAATGTTAAATTTCTCTCAATAATTTTGGTATTTAATTATCCAGAATATGAAATTACCTATTCTTTTTAATTCTTGTCCTGAGGTGTCCAAATAATTGAAGTATTGTTTAACTAACAAATAAGTTGGATGTCATTGTTTTTATTAAAAATATTAGAAAAATTATTCCAACATTTTATATTCTGTCTATGATAATGCTTTAATATTTTAGTTTGAAATATTTTACAAGGTTCATTTCAACCAACAATTTATTTTGTTATAGTTTAATTAGGTCTGTTTTTTTGTTTTTTTTTGTTACCCTTATTTTATCACAATCTCAATTTTAATTTTTTTTTTTTAATTTCTTGCTGTATACTAAACTATTATTTCAGGTAGATTTGCAAAAGCCTACCAGAGGTTGTAAAACACAAGTATTATGTAACTATTAAAAGACTTTGTTTGCTTTTTAGAAAATATATACTTTCAAATGATTTAAAAATTTTCATTTAAAAAAAAAATAAAAAAAAAAACCTTTTGGTCAGTTTCAGATTCTCTGCACAAATCTTGTATAAGTTCATTTTTTTTTTTTTTAAATTGCCCCTTTTTATTTCTGTGAAAATATATTTTTTTTTTGCTTAAAAAAAAGTACTTTTCCCAAGAATAAAATCAATCATTGTCTGTTAAAATACAGAAATCATTTTCAACAGAAAAAAAAAATTTCAACACTGTAATCATTAAAGCTGAGTATACATCAAGAAATTAAAAAAAAAAAAAAAATTTTATTTTTACAATGTCGTACAGTAATGTTCTTGGCCCCACTTCCAATGATCATACCAATTGACCAATAGATTTTTTTTGTAATCTGATTTGGGCTGAAAACTTGTCAGTTTCTTTATTTCTCTATCTCTATCCATAACACTGGACTTGTCCATAAGGTAATGATTCGCAGCCTGTCACACGACTGAGTAATGAGTACATTTTTATATAACATTGTGTCTCATAAATAATTAAAAATTAATGAACTTCTTCCACTTGGTTTCATAAATTAATAACCTTTTACCTTTACTAAAACACTGACAAACATTTTGTTTGCATCAGCTGCTTCTTAAAAATAAATCTTTTTTTTTCTCCCCCATTTCAGTCGTGAAACATACAACGCCTTAACAAATTGGTTAACAGACGCCCGAACACTTGCCAGTCCAAATATTGTGATAATTTTGGTGGGAAACAAAAAGGATCTGGAAGCTGATAGAGAAGTTACCTTTTTGGAAGCTAGCCGATTTGCACAGGAAAATGGTGAGTTACCTTATTGATAGATCTCTCAAAACTGCTGGGCAGTCACAAGTAATCAATTGAGATATTTTTTAAGATTTTTTTGAACCTATAAGGACATATGTTAAAGATTGTGTTTTTTATAATGAAAAGCCTAACTTAAGCTAATTTTTTTTTTTTTTTTTTTTTTTTAGTTATGTAGGTTTTATTTTGCAACAATGATAAACATTGATAAATTTTTATTGGATGCTTTGGATAAATGTTTCCATGAACACTCCTTTTACTCTTTACATTTCATTTAATCTCTCACAACATAAAATGAAGATTATTAACATTTGGAGCTTTTATGCATTATTTTTGTGATTTGTAAATGGGATGCAACGTTTTGTGCTGTTTGACTCTGGGGGAAATGCATTTACCCCACAGCAGCTCAGATGAATGTTTTTGAATTCAATGTGAAAAATGGAATCTGGGAACAGAGTTCATATTTCAGCTTAATATGTTGCATTCAATTTCACACTAATGCCATTATGAAATGAATATATACATTTCTGTAAAGGAATCTAGAAAACCATGATCCCAAATGTCCTAAAAGGACTTAGTATTTCAAAAAAGAAAATTCACTGCCACTTTTTTCTTTTCGTTTTTTTAATGCCATATCCCTTCAGGACATAGACGATCATGACTTTAATATCTGTGAACTGATATGACTTGGCAAATATAGCAGAGTGGTTTCCCATTTCCTTATCAACATTTTGAAATTCAGAGTAGTTCTCTTAGACTGGCTGCCATCCAAGGTTAGTGAACCCAGTCTACACTGATATTTAACCCATAAGTGATGAGAGAAGAAATAAGTTCATACCTTTTCTAATGGTATTAGTCTGAAGTGAATGCAACACACTAGGCCAAACTCAGTTTGCTGATACCACTTTCTGAGCCATTAAATAAATTATGCTACCCAACCATTTGACATAATTATTTGAAGGGCTTTTGTGTATGTGTTGAGAAATATGTTTCAAGCTTATAGCTACTCTATCACAGTTTCCATGACAAATGCTCAGACAAGCTCTACACTTTAGTTTCACCAGTTCAGACCTTTACAGTTTGGACATTGTCATGCCATGAACATAAGCTTGGCTCATCTTCATTCCCTTCATATTTTTAAGAAGGAAGATAGTTTTTTCAAGAGAACTGCTACTTTGTGTAACAGACTCCCAAGAGGATTCTTCCCCGATCACTATCTTAACCTCTTCAACTATTATCTATCCTATCCAGCCTCTTACATTCATACAACAATCACTTTCATTAATATTCAATATTGAGTAGTACATGGGCCATGTATTGGGAGAACATTTAGTGTTAAAAGGAAAACTTTTCATCTTCTCTCACTCTTTGCCTGTATCTTCTTATTTTCTTCCTTATCCTTTCCAATCTTTTCTGTCTGTCCATATTGTTTTATTTGAATGTTATCTAAATCTAAATTAGTTTTATACGATAATATGAAATACACAAATATTCTCTGATGCATCCTCTCTTTTACATATATTTTCCCAAAAACAATTTTAATGTCTGACAATTTTTGTCTTTCCATTCCCACCTGCCTTTTAATACTGTCTCTCTTGATATCCAACTAGCAAGGCTTCATCTCCTCCTCACTATATATATATATATACACATACATATACACAAAAGTTTGAGGAAACCACTGGTAATTTTTTAAATTGGCTCCAGAAGTAGTTGTTTTGTACTTTAAATAAGAGAAAATTATTATACATGGTTAAAAAAAAGTGAGGCTTGATTTTTTAATTAAAAATTTATTATGACAAAAAGAAAAAAAGAAGCATTTTATGATTAAATTTTGCTCTCATCAAAATATCCTCTTTTAGCCTTTTTTTTATTGTTTTTTCACTCTTCTGTCAAGTTCATCCTATGCTAATCCTGTGGGTGACTTCAAACTTCTGAAGTGTGTGTGTATATATATATATATATATATATATATATATATATAAAATGACAAATCAACCATTTGTCAAAAAAATGGTTCTAACAAATAAAAAGTCCTTAATGCAAATTCAAATAATGAAAATACAGACCAAATTAAGATATAAAATTTTACAGGAAAACTGACCTTTCCACAATGGTAGTTTCACCACTTCTGGTATCATCAGGCAGTTAAACTTTCCATTCTACCTGCATTCTAAAACACTCGTACATACACCTGGTACTGGTGTGAGGGAAAGGAAGAAAAATGCTTTATAAATATAAATTTTTACCCTGACTTGAATTTTACTAAGCACAACTCTCTAGCAGGCTTGCATGCTATCACCTCTGATCTCTCCTATAATAACTTATGTTGATTGGATATTTCATTATCACTAACTTTTTCTCCTGGCATAACTTGCACATTTTATTCCTTGTATTGAATGCACAAGTTTTCTTGACCACATACCATTCAGCAATAGGAATTTTTCCTTTTAATCCCCCCCCACTTTATTTCCCATACATAGCCTACAAGTTAGGTGCCATTCCTATATTCTGCCAGTTTGAATGATGTCTTGTGGTTGTAATACCACTATTTGAACATTCCTTCTGTGGATCCAATGCATACTTTTTCAAGGCCGTTTTCTAATACCACCCTTGCTCTGTTTGATGACATGTAAGCATACTAGAAAGTTCTTCCTAGCAAACTTCAAGCCAGTGTAGAAATGCTTATATTCATAAAGCATTTTTCTCTCTCTTCCCACACCCCAACCTATCTCTCCTTCTCACAAGCAGCAGCATGTGTATGCATAAGAGAGAATGGTGGTGGGATGGAAAATCTTACTTACTACCTGACTATGCCAGAGGTGGTGAAACTGCAGTAGTGGAAAGGTTGGTTTTCCTGTAAATTTGAATTCTTACACACATGCACACACTCTTCTCTAGCTTTTTTTTAAATCTCCTATCTTTTCTCCCTCATATTCTGACTGGTCCTTGGCAACAAAGCATAAGTGGCATATAAACAAACAGGCAGAATAATCATTGTTGTGAAGTGACCTGTGTGACAAGAAAAGTTGTAAATTTTATTTCTTACACCCTTCATTGTTCAATGTTAGCATAGAAAATATATTTATACATTTTCTGTCTATCACTGATATTGAAAAACAAAATGAAGTGTAAGAAGCCATCTTGACAGTAAAACAAGGATATCTTTAAAAGATAAGACTGATTTTTAAAAAAAGAAAAATTCAAGATTACATAAGGTTTTGATTCAAGGCATTTCTCTTTTGCTGTTGATAAATGGGAAATGCTCATGATTTTTATTTTCTGCCGACTTCGATAGAAATTACAACATATCACAGAATTGCAAATTTTCCTTTTTCTAAAAAAAAAAAGACCAGTCAATGTGACATTGAGATTTTACTTAAGATTTCCCTGTGACAAGTCATGTAGATGAAAGATTAACTACTTAATGTTTGAAATTATTAAAAAGGTAAATTTGTTTATCAGAGTAAGGTTGGCAGAATCCTTTGTATCTCTGAGCAGAGATTTTTTTTTCCTCCCCCTCGCATTTACTTTAATTTCCCCCACGTCGCATTTACTTTAATTTCCCCCACGTCGCATTTACTTTAATTTCCCCCACGTCGCATTTACTTTAATTTCCCCCACGTCGCATTTACTTTAATTTCCCCACGTCGCATTTACTTTAACTTTCACGTAATACATTACATAAGGTAATCTTTTATCAATATTGGTTACATCATTAATTCTATCTCATTAGGCTGATTACAGGACCACACTAACCAGTGGACAATGCAAATCACTTCAAAAGAATTAATACAGTAGAATCCCTCATATCCGGATTCCCTCATATCCAGACATGATTTTAATAAGTATAATCTTTTGATACATGACTGACGAGGCAGTTTTTTTTCTTGCAGTAGGTTGCCATTTCTTTCTGCAGTAGACCAGTTGCCATCCAAGGCTATAAAACCCGGTCTTGTCTTGCTATTTACCCATAGCTGGGGGGAGAAGAAGAGGATTCATACTCTTTCCCAAGGGTATTAGCACATAAGCGAATATAATGGATGCGACTGGAATTCAAACTCAGCTCTCCTATTCCTCAATCCAGGCCACTATACATTACTCCACCGTGCCTCCTCTCCCAGGTTACACCTCCCAAATAGCACTAAGATGGGTAAGGTCAACAACTCTCCTGATGCTTTTATGTGCTGGAGAAACTGGACAATTTCTGCCTCTACCAAACATGTGGGCCCTGCATTCAACCTGATTTTTGAATCTCGTGAAATTACCTATCAAATAAGATTCAGATTCAGGTATCCCACTTTTACATTTAAAATGTCTATGCAAAATATTTTAAATGTTGTCATCTGTTAAATTCCCTCAATCCATGCAGATCTTTAAGTTGTCTGTTTCTCTTGCAGAATTAATGTTTTTGGAAACAAGTGCTTTGACTGGAGAGAATGTGGAAGAAACATTTTTGAAATGTGCTCGATCAATACTCACCAAAATTGAATCAGGTAAGACATTTTGTGAGTCAGGAAGTAAATGGAGTTAGTATGTTCAACCTTATGAAAGATTTACTGTGATATAGAGTTTTAATGACAGATTATGTTGAATTAGCAAAAGATTATTTGATTCTTTTATTGTTTTAAATAATTCTGTCCCTCATAATATCAAATTGGAAAGCTTTAACTGTTTAGCATTCAACCCACCCCATAAATATCGACTCTAAATGTTCAGCCCGTCCCATATATACTCTAGTATAATGGTATCATTGCAAATAATGCAGGAAGTCACATAAAAAGTGAGACTCTGGTGATAATTTGAGAGCCAATATTTACGGGGTGGGATTGAGTGTGTTGAATGCTCAACGGTTAAATCAGAAGAAACTGGTGATTTTGATAAGAAACCCGAAGAATGATGTCTTGGTGAAGGTAAGATTCTCTACCAAATTCTAGTGGGCAGAAAATGAAATAAATTAAATCTTAGAGTCTATTTACATTTTCAGGACTGATTGAGAAGAGTGATGTATGAAATTTAATTTGTCATTTAAAAAAAAAAATTTTAAAAAATCAATTCTCAAACAAGTAATTATCAAACAACAATAACGGTAAGACCTGAGGTAATGGCCAAAATGAAGAGGAACAAAAGGCCAGATGAAAGATTGTGGAGATGATTTGGGGGTTGATTAGTTTACTGAAGTGATAAACAAAATTTTTGTGATGTCAACTAACACTCATTGCCACTTTTGTAATGTCAACGAATACTCGTTGTAGTAGAGACTTTGTAATCGGAGATAAAACTATAGTAACATTGTTGAACAATACTGGTGTTAGACACCTTTGAATAACGCTCACATTAATAGTACTTGCTCGATAGTACTCGCTCAAAAAGTAACCACCAAATAGTGATCCGAACAGTAATCTGTATATTGATCACTTAAACGCCATGCTAATTCCCATATATACATTTCCTTTACTATCACATGTTGATCTACTTATTCAAAATGGGATCGCCTGTGTTTGCTCTCTGGTGATCTGTGTTCATACTCTAGTGTCGGCAGTGACACTTTATTCCTATATAACAAAAATATATGATAGCAGTGAAATATTGGAGGATCTAGTAGGATCTAAGTTCATAGCATTACCAAAGAAATTGGATAGGAATGAATGTGAATTTCATCAAACAATCAGCTTATCAAGCCATATAACAAAACTAAGAATTTGGATTCTAATGAATAGAGCTCATAGAATTCACAGAGACATAGATGAAGAACAATGTGGCTTTGTTCATGATGCTGAAACGAAAAAAAAAATAAAATAGTCAAAATGAGCTCTAGAAATGTCAAAAGACCCATGTTTCATAAATTATACAAAAGCATTCAATAATTGTAAATTGTGAAGCATTTCTTTCAATGTTATGAAATCTTAATCTACATTGAAAGGATCTTTGAATAAACCCTAGCCTGCATTGGGTACCAGCAGCTTGTATCTGAATAGAGGAGTTGAATGAGTACACAAAAATAGAAAAAGCAAAATAACAAGGCTACATTTTACTACTGGGTTTATTTTAACTTGTACAGAGAGACATTCTAAAAGAATTAGAAAACTTAACAGAATTTATTATTAATAGATGTTAGCTTAAATGCAAACGCTCATCAAATGATACTTTTAATAGCAGATTCTGAAGGAAAACTGAAAGGACTCTTAGACAAGTTAATCTATGAAAGGACAATTAAAAGAAGATTAATTCATAGTTTCAAGCAAAAGAGGCAATCCAAAGTATGATTTGTACATTGGAGACATCAAACTAACTGGGTAATCTAAAAACAAGTGACAAAAAGTGTAACAGAAATCCAAAGGTGCATAGGAATGACAAAATTTGCTTTTTGGAAACTAAGCCAGGAATTAAAAGATTGAAAAATATCATTAAAAACAAAGATTGTTGGACAGTTAAGTAATTTCTAAACTTTGGTATGGGAGTGGAAATGCTGGAGAGTTTTGTCACAGATGAAGAAAGGACTTTAAGCAGCAGATGTGGTTCTATTGATGAATACCACAGATAGAACATGTGAGAAATGAGGAAGTTTTAAGGAAAATTTTGTAGAAACAATTGGAAAGAGACTACTAACATTTTGGAGGCACACAATGAGGAAAGAAAACTTAGAAAATTTGACACTCACAAGGGCATATTGACAGCAATAGAAGTAAAGGAAAGGGGTAAGAGACCTACCTGACAAGTTTGGTTAAACAGATAGATGAATAAGTATCAAAAAGAAAAAGTGGGTTTGAAAAGGGACAAGAAAAGACAAGAAACTGTGGAGAACCATGATTGTCCATGTTCTGATAATGGCACACAGAGAAAGAGAGAATATGTTAAAACCCAGTAATGTTCTTCAATGTCTGTTGCAGTGTTGCTAGTAGTATAAGTTATTGATTAATCTGGACCCCAAATTCTCATCTCAATTATCTTTACTCACATTTCATCCCTTCTGGCATTTGTCTGATTTAGTAAGCTTCTGAGAATGTCAAGCTGACCCCTTTTACTTGTGTTAAGGTTAAAATTCCTTCAGAAAAATACTGGACTTGACAGGCAAAAGAGAGGAATTGAGTGAGAGAGGGAGGAATTGAGTGAGTGAGTGAGAGAGAGAGGAATTGAGGGAGGGAGGGAGGAGGAATTGAGGGAGGGGAGGAGAGGGAGGAAGGAGGAGGGATGGAGGAGGAAGGGGAGGGAGGAATGGGAGGGAGGAAGGAGGAATGGAGGGGGGGGGGGGAGGAATGGAGGAGGAGTGGGGGAGGGAGGAATGGAGTGAGTGTGGGGGGAGGGAGGAATGGGTGAGTGTGGGGGAGGGAGAATGGAGGAGGTGTGGGGGGGGAGGGAGGAATGGGTGGGGAGGGGGGAGGAGGGAGGAATGGGGAGAGGAGAATGGAGTGAGTGTGGGGGGGAGGAATGGGTGGAGTGTGGGGGAATGGGAGGAATGGGGGAATGGAGTGAGTGTGGGGGAGGAGGAATGGGTGGAGGAGGTGGGGGAGGGAGGAATGGAGTGAGTGTGGGGGAGGGAGGAATGGAGTGAGGGAGTGGGGGAGGGAGGAATGGGTGAGTGTGGGGGGGGAGGGAGGAATGGGTGAGTGTGGGGGGAGGGAGGAATGGAGTGAGTGAGGGGGAGGGAGGAAAGGAAGGAAGGATGGATAGATGGCTGGAAGTCTACCCATGTAAATTGAATCACATGTTCTGTTCAACATTTCTAGAAGATTATTGAATGCAATGGTAACCAAAACAACAAAGCAAGAAAGAAAGTGATTTTTGGTGAATAAAATTTATTGGGTTGTTCTTCACTTGTTTGGGACTTTAAGGGAGAATGGTTTGCTGATCTCTTTCCTTCTTGCTTCCACAAGTTATTTAAAATGGAGATCACCAAGTCCAGCCTTGATTTATTGCTTAAATGCTTTTTCCCTTCTTAGCATATCAAGATAACCCAGGTAACTGCCAAACTGTCTGACTTAGTAAGCTTCTGAGAATGTCAAGCTGATCGCTATATTTATATTACAGTCGGAATTCTTTTAGAAGAACACTGGGCTTGACAGAGAATGGGAATAGTATTTTTGTCAGTCCATCTTCTGTTCCATGAACTTCCTTACAGAGCAGTATTGGGGGGGTGCAATTTGTTTTTGTTTCCTTGAAGAAAAAGTTTTTATTTTTAATCTCTCACTATGCACCTGGTGATGGCTGAAGAATTGGTTAGCCAAAATGTGTTAACAGCAACTAAACAAATAAATCAGTGATTCTCAAATGGTGCACCAAGGTGCACTGATATGCCCTGGAGGATGTCTAGGTGCACCCTGGCATTCCAGAGAAATATGTGTCCAGATATAAGAAATAAATATATTTGCTTTATTATATTGAGGCACTCATTTCATTGTGGATAATCCCCGAGGAAAGCTTCAATGATAGGAAGCTTTTGTTTTGCTGTATTGAACTGGTAGGAGTTGCTGGTCAATCTTCCATGCCTAGTTCGAGAAAGTTGACTACTAAAAGATACATTATGTAACATAAAATGATGATGAGGATTGTTTATTTAAAAGTTGTCTTATTTATAATTACAAAATAATTTACCATTTATATATTTATATAAGCAAATGTGATAAATTAGTTACTTTATCATATACACTGATCGTGGGTTGATTAAACAATGAATTGTTTCTCGAAGCTTTTTGGATTTCTATAAAAAGAAGAATATGTGTTAATATCTAAAAAAGCTCTGACCATTTCACTACATCATATTTATGTGGATTAGCCTTTTCTGCTCTCACCACAATTAAGTGCAAAAAGAAAGGAACTCTTCAATGTATTGAGGAGGAAATGAGTTTGCCTGTCAAATATACACCCAAACATTGAAAAAAATCACTAAGATTCATTAGGCTCATATTTCTAATAAATACAAGAATGAATAAACTTAAGGTATGTTTCATTTTATATTTTTTATTACATTATTTCTTTTCTGCAATATTTGACTTCATTATAACATATTTTCCCGAAATTTGTATGTAGTGTGTCTACAATTGTTGATAGGATTTCAAGTGCACCCTGACTTCAAAATGATTGAGAAATACTGAAATAAAGGATTCAATTGTTGGAAATCTCTTTGTTATATTAATAAATATACTTAAAGGTAAATAATAGTAAAGGTTAAATTTATTGTCAACAATTCAATGATTTTGCAATAAAACAAATTAAGGAATTCTTTTTGATTTACAATATGTAATTGAAAGAATCTTTTTAATTAACACCAGTTTAATTTTAATTTTATTTTTTTTTCTAGGTGAACTTGATCCAGAGAGGATGGGTTCCGGAATACAGTACGGTGATGCCTCTCTGCGCCGCCTGCATCGGCAACAACAACAGACACGGCGGCCAGATTGTGCTTGCTGAGGGACCACCTCCCATCCACGCCCTCTTTTTGACCTACCTACTTACCTACCTACCTACTACAACTTGAGGGTGGACCCTGGAGGCTTGTTCATTCTCTAATGCTCCTACTCCTTACTAATCTTACAAGACAATAAAAATACTAATGCTGGCCAAGTCCAGTGTTGTTGATGATGATGATGATATTACAAGATGACTATGATGATGACAACAATAAAAACAGCAGCAGCAGCAGCTCTTCTGTAGCCTGTCACAGTTTGCAAGAGTTTTATTATTGGTTCAGTGCTTTTTTATTTTTTTTTTTTTTTCAATTTTTTTTTTTCAATTTTTTTTTTTTTTGTAATTCTCCTCTCTGTTTCAGTAAAATAGTCTATCTTGCTGCATTTCATATATAGGCTCATTGGCTCTTTTGCTCTTTTATTATTATTATTATTAATATGGATTGATTCCTTTTTTTTTTACCCCTTTTTTTCATACTCCCCCATCCCTTCATTTGTGATAGTTTCACTTTCACATTCCTTAATGGACACAGGGTTTTGAGGGGGACTATTTGAGAGAAGAACATGGGGAAGATACAAAACTTGAAACTTCTTTATAACAACAAAAACCCCACCCCACTCACATGCATAGACCGATGTTTGTAAATAGTTATACCAGTTAGGTACTGCAAATTTTTCAAGTACAAGACTGAACACTTTAAGATTTGCTTCTCAAAAAAATAATAGTATTGTATTAATAACAATATAATATATTGTAGCATCCTTGTCAAGCAGTCATGAAGAGCTTAGTTTATTGTCACAGGGCTGCAATTATGGGTTATTCCAGTGGGGTTTGAACTTTCTATACTTTAGTTTAACCATTATTATACAGTGATAAATTTATTGTTGAACAGGTAAGCAAATTTGAAGAGTTAAAAAAAAAAATACATTTGATTCTTATTTATTTATATATATATATTCTAAATTATTTATATATATATATATATATATATATATATATATATATATATATATATATATATATATATAGTTTTACTGCATTAGACATAAATTTCTGTAAGTGTTCTTGGTTTTCTTTGATTCAATTTCTATAATCATTGCATTACCTTATCAAACTTCACATACCAAGCATTGAGTCCTCTTATTCATTAAACTATTGAGAGACAGTATTGGTTGGTAGATTATAATACTATCCAATGCAGTTGAATACTTTTCTTTTTAACGATTTTTCCCCCAACCAAATTGAATTGTCGATTACATCACCTGTAGTTTGATGCTGTATCCCCATGAACTATAAAATAAGATTATATATTCATCATATCTGTTTGAGTAATTAAAAATCTTTTTACATGGTTGAATCTATAGCATGTCTGCTCTGTTAAGAACATTTTCTTAAGTTTATTCTTGAGTTCAAGGACATTAAATGACCATTTTGGATTTGGATCAAGTTTTTTTTTCATATGTTCTGCCCAGTCAGTATGCTTTTCATACTTGCAAAGGTTTTCTGCCTATAAATAGTGTAAGAAACAAGTGAATATATATGTATATAATGTTAAAGTTGTAAATAAAGACTGTAAAAGTTTAATTTAAAGTAAATTTTTAAAGTTTATTTAAGTAAATATTTTCCTACTTATTTCTGGTGTTGAAAATCTGATAATAAAATTACATTTATGATATTTGTCCCTCTTAAATGATTTTTGAAAATGATTAAGAAAACCAATTTCCACATTAATTTGAGCAACTAAAATTGATTGGATTTTGCTGATTTTATATAATTTCTAAAAATTAAACTTAATCTTGCTATATTATGTTTGCTCTAAAAGTAATACCTCCTATTTTATGTTTGTGTTTGATAGCAAATGCTATTGTTGGCAAGTAGTAGAAGTTAAACCTTCCGGCCAATAACCCATATATATATATATATATATATATATATATATATATATAAAAAAATGCATGCTTTATGCCTTTATTACTGATGGCAACTGAGAAAAATAGCATCTATGATGAAAGTTATTTGAATCAGATGTTTGTCATGCAGAAAAAAAAATTGCAATCATCAATGCTTGCTGAAAGTTTACAGTGACCAAACAGTGAATGTGATCACAGTTAGGCAGTGGATAATGCATTTCAAAGAAAGTGACAGCAACAATATCTGTGGCAAAACATGATCTGAGTAGTATACAGTCTCTTCATAGCTGGCAAAAATTAGCGCAGTCTCCCCTCCATAGTTTTTATTTTGTTCTGATTTTTCTCTTGAATTCTGGTTAACCATTGCTTTCAGCCTTTTATATTTTTTCTTCTTTGTTTAATAAAGTTGATTCATAATAATAAAACCTAACATTTATTTCTTACAAGAGAAAAACAAATTTAATTGATCTGATTGGAATTGACTGCAGAGAAATGCATACAAAAACCACAGACCTTCCTATTTATCAAACTATTGCAGCAATTTAAAGAAGAAAGAAAAACTTCCACTTGTTGGCACCAAAGAGAGCCTCTCTGGTCAGTGAATGATAAATTTGGTTGATATTATTGATTACCCTTGTATATATATATATATATATATATATATATATATATATATATTTTAAATCTTCTCTCTTTTACTTGTGACTCTTCATACTAATTAATATCATGAGTACACAAAACTGTTATCAGTTTTTGTGGTGGTCTTTTTTTTCTCTTGATTAGCTTCTAAATTATTCATATTGGATAAAGTCTTTAGAATAAATGTGAGTGACAATTATATGTTGATTGTATAAATACCTAAAATTATTTGCTTGTTTACTATTTCTATAGATGTTTTTGTTTTTTTAAACTCTACCTAGAAGTTGGTTGAGTTTCTGTTTTATAGGAATTCACTGCAACAAAATCCATTTGTGCTTATGTTGTGATGAAATAGGATAAAGGAAAAAAAACCCGAGTTACACGAGTAACTATTAAAAAAAAAAAATTATTCCTCTAAGCATTCTGAAATATATTTCAAGATTCAGTGGTTTGAAGTTAGTTATAATTTGAACCAAACATTAAATTTCTGATGAGATAAAGATAAGAACTGTATTGCAATGACAAATTGAAAGGAAACTTCCATTTTCTGTCAAAAATATCATACAATTTTGACATCCTGATTGCAAAATTTGATAAATTTCAGTTAATATATAAAGGGTGAAAGTAATTCTGATATTGTTCAGACAATTGGTTATAAAGTGAATTGGTCACAAGGTCACTTTTTTTATCCCTAGTATTTATAGTAATTGGTTTACAATTCTTGAGTTGACCAACACTCATGGGATTGTTTTCAAGTAAATGGTCTTTTCACAATTTAGCATATTTGAATTTAGCCTCAAATTAGTTACATTCATTCCAAAATCCTCCCTATCAACATAGACATCTTCAACTCACCATTTTGGTGAAAAAGAAAGAAAAAAAAAAAAAAAAATATATATATCTTTTAGAAATTGTTTTTTCTTTTATTTTTTTCCTCTCAGAGAAAGAAGAAAAAGAAAGCTTTGCTTACTGTAAAGTCCTTCATGGCCAAGCATTAAAGCAAGCCAGATGAAACTGTAGGTTCCCATAAAAAAGGGGGATGCAGGTTCAATCCCTGCCAGGAGACTCCTTTTCTTTACTTACATTTCTTGAATGCACAGACCAATAGATATTATATACACTGTTTAATAAATAAATAAAAATTGGGTATCTATTTTTTTTTTTAAAGTGTCCACTATAATAATGTTTGAATTAATAAAAAGGATTAAAAGTAATTAATTCTTTAGATAGATACACACACACACACACACTATTTATTATACGAGATTAAAACAAAAACATGTTAAATTTCTTCTGATGATGGCCATGTTGGCTGAAACTAGTCAAGGATTCTAAATGAAATAATAATAATAAAAACAAATGAATATTAATATACAACCCAGTGTGTCTGAAGATTTTAATATTTTTTATTGTTCAAAAAAAAAAAATATATATATATATATATGAATGAATGAGATTAAAACAAAAACATGTTAAAAATCGCTACACAATAACTATCATGTTTCGGCATTGTTGTGTTTCTCAGGTGATGGTAAATAACTGATGAGTAATTACCGTACAAGGAATTAAACTGTAGTACTGAAATAGAAAAGCTATTGCATATTGATTTTTAACATGTTTTTGCCTTAATCTCATACAATAAATAATATTAAGCTCTACTCTCTATTGATCCCTTTCTTTAAAAGATTAAATGCTACAGACAGTGGAATTATATTCCATTTGTTCTTATCCTGTACTTAGATATACAGGGTGTCCATAAAGTTCGTGTGCACTTTAAAAAATTTATAACTTTATTTGTGATAGAAATAAACTGTAAAAAATGTTATAAAGTTTAATGTAGCTGGTTTTAAGTATAGCTAAAATAACTGTCATTTCAGGCATTACTGTAAATCAGTTGGAAAACGTTTTCCATGAACTGCAAAATCGTATTATTATTGCTAATGACAGAGGACATGTGGAAACATAAATAAAATTTCAATAAAGCCTTAAAAAATATAGATTTACTTCTTTCTAATCCTTTTTACAAATAATTTCTATCGCAGATACAAAGAAAGTTATAAATTTTTTAAAGTGCGCACAAACTTTATGGACACCGTGTGTGTGTGTGTATATATATATATATATATATATATATATATATATATATAATACCCTACATTGATTTGCCAAATCTGAGTCGTGCAATCAATATAGGGTATTATGTATATATTTTAATATATTAAATAACTCTGTTATTCAACATTGAGCATTGTTTTTCTTACACTGTAGTGTGTGTGTGTGTGTGTGTGTAAATATTTTTTTTTTTTTTTTTGTCAGGGTGAGACGTTTCTCATACAAAAAATATGTAATTGTTGAGTGATGTGTGAAAATTGTGCATGCAAATGACTTATTAAGAGTTTAAGAAGATTGGATCGCATCAATGGTTGAAACAAGTGCAAGATTTGTAGTCTCTAA